AGTGATGTGGTGATGTGATGGGTTTTTTGTTTGTTTGTTTGTTTGTTTGTTTTGATCAGAATAAATAAAGCAAAATAAACAATTCCATGATGTTAACACATTTTATTTATTTATGTATTTATTCATTTATTTTTTTATTTTTTTATTTTATTTTTTTATTTTTTTATTTATTTTGCATTACAGCAATGGAAACTGACATTTTTGCATAATGGTAATGAGAATTTATAGAGGGAAAATATATGTTTAGTTAATATGTTTAGATTTAGTCTCTTATGTCTCAGAAAAAAAAAGGTTTTTTTTTTATTTTCTGTCTGACAGGTCATCCTGGGAAGTCTGAGAGTTATCTGGAGGCGATCAGGAAGAACATTGAATGGCTGAAAAAACACAACAAGGAAAGCAACAAAGAAGGTAAATGTTCATCAAAAATAAAGCACCACACCCATTTCCTTTCAGTCATGACTCTGTTATTTCACTGCTGATGAAATGGAATGGATTATGTGCTCTAATCATGATGAAGCCAGCAGGATATGTGCTCTGCCTTTCATTTTTAGCTGGTTTTGTTTGTAATATTGTTTCAATTAAACTGCATTTGTGCAGCAATTTCTACATGCTAATTAGTGGTCGCATTAGTGTAATATAGGCCAGCAGCCTATATGCATAACACAATTTAAAGATGCAAAATGTGTAGATCTACACATGTTGCCAAAATAAATGAACACCCATTTTACAGAATATTTGCACAAAATTAATTGACAAAGTTGTTGCTAGATTTTGTAAATGACAAATGACACAAGTATACCATCCTATACTTCTAGTGAACACACTGGTAATCCATGATAAACTGATAAACAGCCTTTTCTCCCTTTCTTTAAGCTGTCAAAGGGTTTCTCCCTAACCCAAGGTTGCACATGATTTAATGAAAACATGGAGAAGAACAGTCAAATTTAAGACTCTTTCTTTCTCTTCATTTGCAATTAAAGTGAGCGTGGGTGGGTGAGAGCACTCATGAATATGCGTTGGTTTGATGAGCTTGGCTGTGTTTCAGCAGTGCAAGTCTGCTGTGTTTCTGACAAAAGATCTGTGTATTCCTCTCTTCATACCTGCCAGCATGAGACTGAAACACTGTGTGTGTTCTTCAGGCATCATCTGCTCAGCTCAGAAAATGAGAGTGTGTTTTGAGATGAGAAATCTTGTTCTATCGTTTAAATTCAAAACAGACTCATTAGAGGCAGCCTGTTATCGTCTAGATGGGTGAATCATGTCCAGGTCATATTCATCACAAAAGAAAATAAGAAAATATTCGGCATAAAGCAATTTAAGCTTATTTTAGGACAATTCTCATTACTGTAATGTGCTGGGGTTTTTGTTTGTTTGTTTGTTTTGATTAGAATAAATAAAGCAAAATAAATGTTAAAACATTTTATTTATTTATGTATTTATTCATTTATTTATTTTTATTTACTTTATTTATTTATTTTTATTTTTTATTTTATTTTATTTTATTTTATTTTTGCATTACAGCAATGGAAACTGACATTTTTGCATAATGGTAATGATAATTTATAGAGGGAAAATATATGTTTAGTTAATATGTTTAGATTTTGTCTCTTATGTCTCAGAAAAAAAAAAACGGTTTTCTGTCACTTTTTTGGTCAATTCAATGCATTCTTCATGAATAAAAACATACATTATTTTTTTACATTATTTTTTTTTTTTATATTTCTGAACCCAAACTTTTGAACGGTAATGTAAATCACCCATCCATGTTCACGTCACATTAAAATCTCATATCATACACATCAAGACGTGTGTGTGAGTGTTTTAAATACAACATGAGTCATAGTCATTATGGCCACTAATACAGACATAGTACACTCTAAAAAATGCTGGGTTAAATACAACCCAGTGCTGGAAGCGTGTGAGGTCTGGCGGAAACTCCACGGCTCTGTTGTGGAGGACTGTCCAGTCTTATTCTGTTGTAATGGTCAGTGAGGACTGTGAGTCTCTGAGGACTGTCCAGTCTTATTCTGCACTCTAAAAAATGCTGGGTTAAAAACAACCCAGTGCTGGGTAAAATAGGGACAAACCCAGCAATTGGGTTGTATTGACCCAGCGGTTGGGTTACTACCCAGAAGGTTGGGTTAAACATTTAACCAAACCGCTGGATCAAAACAGCCCAACTGCTGGGTTTGTCCCTATTTAACCCAGCACTGGGTTGTATTTAACCCAGCATTTTTTAGAGTGTGTTGTAATGGTCAGTGGTCAGGAAGAATCCACTAGTCTATACATTTTGCCAGATCCCACACACAAAAACATGCACCAACACACGCTCTGCTGATAGCCAGCACTTTTTTCAACCCACACAATGTACTCAAAACACTTTCACACATGCTGTGCCAAAAATTTGGAAGTGCATTTATACATATTTACTGCTTTGTGAGTCTTTTGGCTTTCGGCTTTCTCCCACACACACCCACTCTCATGCAAGCTTACACTAGCACATACACTGACAGGCATTTATGGATGATCTTTGACATCCACTGATGATAAGAACATCATTTCTAGAAAGAAAACACAATCAGGCCATCACGTGGCTTGCCTCCCGCATTTCAAGTTTTTATTTAAATGATTCTAGGTTACAGCCTTCCATTTAGCATGAAACACTGCATTGCTTTAACCAACACACTGATTTATATAACCCTTAACATTTAGGTCTTTAGACCAGAAGTGGTACGAAACTGAAGCTCAGTGCACAAATAACACTGAACTAAAAAATATTATTTTACCACGCCAAATTATTCAGTTCATATTTTTGTATTTAAACAAAGAACAATATTTTTCTATAAAACAAAAAATTCCAAGACAAGAGTCCTGCAGAGTTTGAGCTTGATAAGGCAAATATACATTTCAACATAAACATATAAAAAAGAGAAAAGAGACGAAAATTGATATTTTTTTGTGATGTCTCTCTTTTAAAAAATGATGTCTGCAAGATCAAACCATTAATTTTAAGAGGCAAATAGCACAATTATTTATGTATTTATTTATTGTAGATATAGATAAATATTTTATAATTTCCTTTATGCATTTATAAAATAGACATTTTTGTAATTGTTAATGAATATTTTTAGTTATTTAATACAACTAACAAATATTTTTAATAATGTCTCTTTGTTAAATATGATCATTTTTAAGGGGGAGTATCAAATTATGTATGAATGTATGTATATATGTATGTATTTATCTTGTAGATATTGTAGTTTTAAATAAATATTTTATAATTTCCTTTATAGATTTATAAAATAAACATTTTTGTCATTTTTTATTAATATTGTAATGATTTTAATACAACTAACAAATATTTTTAATAATTTCTCTCTGTTAAATAAAGTTTTTTTTTTTTTTAAAAAGAGGGAAATATCACTTAATTAATTAATTTATTGATTCATTCAATATTTATTTATTTTGGTAGCTTTAACTAAATCATTAGTTACATTAAAAAACTGTAATATTACGTAATTACTTAAATACTTTAATTATTATAATACTTATTACTACTTTTTTATTTAATATCACTTTGTTTTTATATTATGTAACATCACTAGAAAACAATGGTGTAAAAACGATCTGCACTCAGAAATTGCTGTTAGATTTCTGTACTGATCAGTTCCGGTCTCTTCTCTTGGTTTGTTAAGATTATGACCTCTCCAAGCTGAGGGACTTCATGGACCAGCAGGTGGATGCATACATCGACAAAGGCATCCTTGCGAAGGACGAAGGAGACGTAATCAAGAAAATCTACGGAAGCCTGTAGGAACCACAAGTCCAGCTTCACATGTAACAGTGTAACAGACTTTCTACTAAATACTTGGACTGGGCATACTAACACAGATCCTAATGCTTTAACTCCTCATAAATAAGATTTAGTCTGCAACTCAGACAGTATTTCTGCAGAATAAGTCCCTCCAGAAGGCAATATCCTCTCTCAGTGCAGTCAGCAATAGAACACAATCTAGTTCTAGATAAGCCACAAATCATATTTGAGTTGTAAGTGTTCTTACGCATTAGGACCGAATAACACCACTGGCTACCTAGAAGAATGAAATTCAGTGGATGTTTTGGTATGACTTGAAAATCAGAGAAAATAGAAGCTTTTGCACCTGTCCTACTTTTGCAATAGACTTTTACAGCATCATATGCATATATCTGTACGTAACATTCATTCACGTATGGTGTATATCATTTTCTCCTCTTAAAAAAAATCAGTTCGACTGTCGGTGAATTGCTTTCCTCCTCTGTTGTTGTTTTGTCTCCCAGTCTGTAGGGGGCAGTCTACATCGTTATATCTCCCTTCTCTGTCTTAAGTTTGATTTTGTTTCTCCACTATTTGACTCTGTATATTCCACATGCTATAGATTCACTAAAATCAAGTATTTTTAAATGTAAATAGCGTGATTTTTCCAAAAATCTATTAAACATTGCCTTTCTTTAATTACTTAACTTCTGTGATTGTCATTTTTTTAAAGGTTTTGATCCTCCTATAAACCAATTTAATGTTAAAAGAAAGAAAGAAAGAAGGTTATATAGTCCACAGTGTATACAACAGTTAATTATAACTAACTTACAGTGTGTTGCTGCAGATCAGGGCTAACTGTTACAAAGGCTACATCTGAGTAACTACAAAGTTTTCAATCAAATCTCTAAATTCATAAATTGCTTCATCCAGCAGTGGTTTAATAAGCTGTGAATTCTGTTTGTGAATAATGTTAATTATGAATAATAATGGGAATAATAATGGGAATTGTGTCCTCTAAATCAAGTCACATTTATTTATATAACACTTTATACAATACAAATAGTTTAAAACCACCTTGATGGTAATAAACATGAAAATAACAGTATTCATGTTGCTACATTTTTCTGTCAGGGATTTGTCGTGTCACGCCTCGCAGCATCCAGTGTAGACAGCGTCACTGATTATAATGAGTTCTATAGTATTTTGTCGCACCGCTCGCGTCTGGTGTAGACACTGTGTAACATTGGTTTTGCTTTGTTTCACAGAACTAATAGTTGCCTGGGTTGCGTACGTATGTGTGGGGCGGAGCTATCAAAATAGGTGCGAGACCCTTTTGCGGTAGGGGGGTGTTTGTTTTGGTGATTTGAAATGTCAACATTGGCTACCAGAAATCACTTACCCCACCTTTAAGGATGCCATATCAATTTGAGCCTGATTCAGATCCCGAGAATATTGAACAAGAGGATCGCGCAGATCCTTTGCACGCACGGATATTGCAAGACATATTAGAGTGGTAGCCATAGATATATATATATACATATCTATGGTGGTAACGTTATTGTTGTTTTTTATTATTATTATTATTTTATCTGTTATCCACCTTTTTCTTCCTGTAAAAATGGCAGCGGCCATTTGTAAATTCTATGGGTCTGGCGTCTCATCCGCATTCAGCTATTTTAAGTTGTACAGAACCCGTTTTGCTGCTTGATATTGAAAATTGGTGTGTCTTACCATATTATTTGAATGTGTTGTCTTAATTACGAACACACTGTTTAATGCAAAGTTTTACAGCTGCACGTTGTTATTCTTCTCATTATTTCCCTATAGCAGCTAATGAACCGGAAGTCTTGCCCATAGGCTTACTTCTGCATTGAAGACAAAGGTGGATGGATACAGTTGAATTTATTTATACCATAGTCCGGTGTTTCCCACAGACTAAGTAGTAAGTTAGACTCTATTTGTGGCGGCATATATATGCAAATTAATTATCTGCCAGCAGGAGGCGCTGTTGGAGTGGTAGATATTGAGGTTTCCCCGGTAACGGCTGTACACAAAGCAGCGCTCCGCCAATGACTAGAATACTTAAAAGGACTTTGGCTTCGCTCACAAACACTGCTTTATCAGACATTACATGCAAGAAGAGATGAAAATAACATCCAAAATTTTCTGAAGACAGTTGGTTTCCTTCAGAAATACAGTGATATAAAAACACCCGCACCGGGTTTCGATTTTGAAACATGCAGTGCTCATGTTTATTCAACGAAGTCAAAGCCTTTTGGAAAATCTATTTGTGATGGGCAGTTTTGATACTGTGGCAGGCGCCACAAATAAATCAATGTATAGGAAACACTGTAGTTTCATAATTGAAGTGTAAATTCTGCAAATTACATCATTGTCCAATATTGTACTGTCAGCAATTTATAAAAACGTTTTCATAATTGTAACATACATATTTATATACATAATTATTCAGGTGCATGTCTAATAAATTGTGAAAACTTGAAGCTACAGCAGCACTTCTTCTCCGTCGTCGTCTTGTCTGATGCACTCAACCAAGCGTTCTAACCACGACCTCGCCCCTCCTCACCCCAAACCATTAGAATTTCCGTAGGCGGGATTTATTTTAATGATATTCTAATGGGTCGCTTTGTGGCATCACAAAACCCGGAAAACAACACTGTAGTCCAAACGAGCCGTTCATTGTAGTTCTTGAAAAGGGATTTAAAAAAAAAAATAATCAAAATATCTCTCTTTTGAGTGGACTTTGAGATTTGTAACTTTGTAGATCGTTTTTAAGCCCAAACATACACAATACACACTGACTAAAATTCAAAAAGTGAAAAAGCATAATAGGACCCCTTTAAGAGAATCATTTTAAGCCTCACTGGGGCATCCGTGGAAGTTTGCTGAGCCCACCAGTGGTTTTTACATTTTATGATAAGAAAACCATTTTGTGGTTAAATTTCTCTCTCAAAACTGGTATCATTGCGTGAACAAATACACAAATATATTACAGGTCTTTTCAGGTTAGTAGTTTCATTTATGGCTAATGATCAATCATTACATTTATGATCTCTCAGGCCACTGCATAGAAGCTAAAAGCAATCGGGCTCTGATAATATCATTCACATATTTATTTTATATTCAACATGCAGTTTGAGATATTGTGCCTTGTCCCTGCAATCTGATGTACAGTGGGTACGGAAAGTATTCAGACCCCCTTAAATTTTTCACTCTTTGTTATATTGCAGCCATTTGCTAAAATCATTTAAGTTAATTTTTTTTCCTCATTAATGTACACACAGCACCCCTTATTGACAGAAAAACACAGAATTGTTGACATTTTTGCAGATTTATTAAAAAAGAAAAACTGAAATATCACATGGTCCTAAGTATTCAGACCCTTTGCTGTGACACTCATATATTTAACTCAGGTGCTGTCAAGGGGGTCTGAATACTTTCCGTACCCACTGTATATAATAATGCAAATTTTGTGAAAATCACATCAGGGCTAGAAAAGTGACATGACATGTGGCCAAGTATTGTGACCCATACTCGGAATTAGTGCTCTGCATTTATCCCATCCAAAGTGCACACACACAGCAGTGAACACACACACAATCCCTACCGGTACGAGACTCGAACCCGCAACCTTTGGGTTACGAGTCCAACTCTCTAACCATTAGGCCACAACTTCCCAAAAACGCTAAGTCTTGTCAATATATGTAGCATCACTCACTAAACAGATTTATTGTCAGGTGAGTGTAAACAGATGTCTGTATATCCTGTCAACAGTCTACACTCAGAACAAAATATTTAGCGATACAGCTAATATGTGTTGCAACTGACTTTTTTTTGCCAAGAGTGTATTTCTCAAAGGGCTGTTATAACAGATCTCTACTGCCTGAAGTGTTAAAGCTTCTATGGTGGCGCTGAAAGGTGAGATCCATCACATAATAACCCAAAACTTTGTTGCAGATCTATAATCCATGAAACAAGAAGCTCTCAGTTTACAGAAGCATTTATTCTGCATAATCCAAATCAAACTGCACAGTAAAATATTTTTATTAAACCCCAACACACAAAAACACAACATTCACACCAAAACAGCATTATTTATCCCTTTCAACCCCACACATAAAGCTTTTATAAGCAAACAAAACAAAAAATGATAAATTAAAATCAGCAGGCAGCCACACAGAATCTGGGATGTTTTATCTGATAAGTTACGTTACTGGACAGACTGCAGATACAGTGTTTCATATGAGCAGTGGTTATAAGTTTGTGATCTACATGTGGACGGCTATTGCTCTTCCTAAAGAAGACAAACTCGGCTGTAGCTTCTTTACAGTTATGTGAAATGGAGCAATGATGATAAAAATCATCAGAAATAAAATCACTATAATACTGCTGAAGAAGGCAATGATGGAACTTCAGCACAAGAGTATGGCATGTGGTCCGGTGTTACAGTTTGGGTAACGGTAGAGTAAAAAAAAAGAAAAAAAGAGAGCAGGCAAAAGAGGTATGAAAGGATGAAGGTGAAAGGATGAAGACCAGCACTGCAGGTAAACCGATGAAGAAGAGTCCATCAGATCTCCTGACATGATGATGTTGAGTTTGCTGGGTCATCTTCCTCTCTGAAATTAAACACACGCAAACAATATTTTAAAAAACTGCTGAATACATATAGCAAATGTGTCACTTTAATATGAGGCTTCAAAGAACTGAAAGTGAATGTTAAATATTACTGTAAATGTTTTTATTAATAATTTTAGATATAAACTTCCACTATTCCTGTATGAAGTCTATAGCAAATATTTAAATGTAAAATAAAATTAAAAAAATAACTAATTGATAGGTATTCTTTTTTTTTTTTAATATAATGAAAGATTAGATTTAAAAACACATTAGAACATTAGAAATAGCTTAATTTTGTTTATATCTGCACTGCAATAAACATTGTGATTTGGGGGAAAAAATACAGGAATTGTTTTGCAGATTACTTGAAAAGCTCTATTTGGAATTAAACATTGTAGAATTATTGAGGCGATTTTGTAGGTAAGTGCATCTGCACAGAATATTAAAATAGTAAATAAATAAATACCAAAAAAAAAAAATGTCTTGTATAAGCTTTTTTTGGTGTGAACCATCCGTCTAGGACTGAAATACATGGGAAAACCTGGAAAAATGTGGGTTTTCAACTCAAACCTCATAGGTCATAGGTCACATTCCCACTATTTTTGAGCAATTTGATGATTATATTATAATAATGATTATGATTTTAATCAATTACTACATTTTAGAATAAGAAATATTACTATTGTAATACAACTTACTGTACTGTAAAACGAGAATTGAATAAAATCATAATTTGATCTTATTTTCTCACAACTGTAAAACTGCAATACATATATTTACATCTTAATTTATTCAATTGCATCTTAATTCTTTAATATTTCTTTCATTTTGAAACATTAAACTATTGCCCTTTTATTTTGTCTAAAAAAACCACAGGGAGACCTTCAAGCCCCTTTGTTAGCAATAGATTTATAAATTATTCTCATTACAAATCCAGTGAAATGAGTGGCGCACATTGTTCCCAAACGCCTGTGTTGTAAAGAAGTAATAATAAGCATTTCGCTCTGCGTGCACACATTTTTGACATTCAATAGCAGCCTCTCTGATTTCATAATCGCACCATTACATTATTTCATTTT